GTTTCAAGTCTGAACGGAATCGGATAATAATTTCATGTTTTATAAAAAAAAAATTTTGACCCTTTGTTGGGAGGTATTATAAGGAGTGGGCCGATATATCCCATCTTTACACTAGATCTTGGGTTAATAGAAATATTGTGATGTGTGTAATATGAAGAAAATCGGACTCTTACATCACATTTTATAAGAGTTTTAATTATAATAAATTTAATTAAAAATTATAACCCTTTGTGGGGAGATACGTGACGGAGTGGACCAATATTGTCCATGTTTGCTCCTGACCTTGCACTGATGCAAATATTGGGATATGAAAAGATGGACCAAAATCGGATTATCCTTTCTCTTTCTGTGCAATATTTTTTTTCTTTGAAAATATTAACATTTTGTGGGGAAGGTACCGAATGCACCGATATTGCTCACCTCCGAACTCGATCTAAGTTTGACAATAATATTACGACGTACCAAGTTATGGTGCGCACCAGCCAGACAGACGGACGAACACCGCTAGATCGACTCCAAATGTCCTAAAACGGATTTGGCCCAAAGAGACGTAGTGTCTAAACCGTTATTTCGATGAGGCACACTTACAGTTTAAAATGTAACTCGTTCGAAGATGGAATCCCGATATTTTTTTTATTTTTTTACCTCATGGGAGGCTGCTTTTAAACTTATTTGAAGGTAGTTTGAAGCTCAACGGTTTGTTATATTATTACCCCACAGTAGAGTGTATAGGGACTGCTAAAAGTACACAGAAACACAAGCGCACCCCCCCCTCCCCAAAAAAAAAAAATCCTCATCCCAATTTTTAATTTGAAATAAAGATTTTTTTTAGGAACACACAAAATAATCTTCTCTTACTTCTTTTAAGTTATTTTGTTGCCGATATTGCAAGAATAAAACATGTTAGACTTTCGGGACATAAAAGATGCAACAGCTTAAGCGTTTATTAAAAATACGTATGTACTTGACAGTACATACAATTTTCACAGCTTAATTGGGTTTTCAACAAATGTTATCTTGTTTCTAACTGGACCGATTAAATAGTTTCTCAGAAATCAAATTATTTATTGAATTTCAATTTAAAAATAATTTCATACTCAATTATGTTTTTTTTTTTTTTGCTTTTTCTAGGTAAGTGCGACGCAAAAAATCGCTTTAATTGAATAAATGGATTCTATTCAAATTATGTTTAATTGTCAGGTAATTATTTCAATTTACACATCGTTAATAATTATAATTCCATAATGATAATGGACAAATACGCTAAATATATCTATTGGAAGATTTTATTGACAAATCTGTTGGCAATTAAAATCGACCTTCACATATATTCACATATTTAGTACTTTATGGGTGGATCAATATCACAAATTAACAATGTTTCAGAGGTGTCACAGACGATGTACATAACTACTTATTTACATATGCATTAACCCCTTTAAAGCTATCAAAAGCATTGTATTTTTATATGCCTTCGAGCAACATCTTAGTTCTGTGAAAAAATATTATTTTATGTTTACATATTTTGCATATTTCAATTTCTTTACACATACAATTTAAAAGTCGTTGGGTAGTCTTTTAATGAAATTTTTTGTAAATAACAATAAACAAAAAAATTGGGACTTACACGAAACTTGTTTAATTTTTTTACGAATGGCGAATATTTACAACAGAGAAATTTTCGGGCACATATATAGAAATTCCATTGACTTCAACTTTCAAAAATTTTTGGTGATACCAAGCAAGCTTAATCCAAATAACGTAATTTCCTGTTGATAGGGTGATTCAGGTAATATTGAAACCAAAAGTAATGCTAAAATAGGTTATTTTCACCCTCCGCATGCAAATTTTTTTGCATTTGTATGTCCTACACTACATAGTGGTAAGGGTATTTTGCCTTTGTGCACTTGTATGTAATATGCAGAAGGAAGCGAGATAAATCCATAGTTACTTTTGAGGATCTTTATAGAATGACTTTCTGAGTTGATTTATACATGTCAGACCGTCTGTCCGCTCATCCGTCTGTCCGCTCATCCGTCTGTCCATGTATGTTTGTGAACAAATCGCAGGTCGTATTTATTATCCGATTGAGATAAAATTTTCCAAGCAATTTTTGTTTGGCCCAAGGAGGAACCCCATTGAAATTGGTGATAAGATTTAGATATAGCTTCCACATATATCTTTAACCGATTTCGGGTTAGTTGGGCACCAAATGGTCAATATCTGTCAGAAAGTCCTGAATTTTAATACATGCGACGAATTCTGTCTAGAAGCAAGTACATCGGATTCGGAGAAAATCGGCTCAGATATAGTTATAGGTCCCATATATATGTTTTATCCGATTTGGTGTTTAAGTCTTACATTCGTAATATGCAATCCACAAGAGTGATGTTTTCTGTTAGACATCAGATACAACCTAGAAATACCGCTGCCAAAATGTATTAAGATCGGTTCGGATTTGGATATAGTCTCCATATATATATCTTCAGCCGATTTTGGGTTAATTGAGCACCAAATGGTCAATATCTGCCAACAGTCCTGAATTTTGGTACATCCGACAGAATTCAGTCTAGAAGAGAATATCGGTTCTGATATAGCTATAACTCCCATATACATACATTTTGGTGAGAATTTTCCAGAAAAAAAGTTATTCGTTGTGGAATTCAAGCGTGATAGTGTAATTTCTTTATATTTGGCTTGAGAACCACAAGTGGCACTCCAGCATTTGAATGTGAATAAATCTTTTGTGTCTCGTACCATCGCTCGTTACCGTGATACTGTTAGCGTAGCCCGACGTCAAGTAAGTGGACGGAAGAAAACAGCAACATCAGCAGTAATGGTTCGAAAAGTAAAGAAGCGACTTGATCGAAGCCCGCGTCGCAGTGGGCGAAAATGGCTCGTGAGCTGAACATATCGCAATATTCCATTCGTAAAATATAGAAAAAAGTACAAAAACTTACACCGCATCAGAAAGAAAATAGACTCAAAAGAGGCCGAAAGTGCTGAACTGCCGAATTTGATTTCTACGATGAGAAAACATTCGTTGTCCAGCAGTTTGCAAACAAACAAAATCATCGTGTTTACTTGCCAAAGAGGTCAGCTGAAAGTATGCTCCTTCGGTTGACCACCAGAACTCAAGCGCCGGCCATAGTGATGGTGTGGGCCGCTACAACTGCCGATGGTCGCTCTCCGCTCGTATTAATCGACCGTGCCATTAGAATAAATGCCAAATATTATCCCGAAAATATTCTGGAGGGTGTAATGAAGCCTTGGGCACGCAAATATTTTGGCCGCAGACCTTCGACATTCCAAAAGGAATGGTTACAAAATGAGGTTCCTCGCTTCATTTCCAGTGCACAATGGCCACCAAAATCTCCAATCCGGTGGACTATTGTGTCTGGAGTATTTTGGAAAGCAAGGTTGGCAGTAAAAAATACCAAGTACGAATGTCGATCACCTCAAGCAAGCGCTTCGCCGGGAATGGGCCAAAATACCGCAGAGCAACATTCGGGCAGCGTGTGACGGTTTGAAAGACGCTTATTAAATTTGGTGACCTTTATCGTAATCGCAAATGGTGAACGGAGAGGCTGACGGACATAATTTAATCGACAAAAATTTCTACTTTTGAACATACTTTATTGTGTCCCTAACTATTATAAATGATAAATGATAAAAAAAAACTTCAATGAGCTTGAAAACCGTCAAATTAGTAGATTGACGGCAGTTGCAAGCTAATAATTTTTTATCAAAGTTTAAGCTTTTTTAAAGAGAAAAGCTAACCGTTTACAACTTACATTAGCTTCTTAAAAATATGCATTTAACCCTAATGCTATGGACCAGCAACGCAGTCCAGGTTAGCTAGTTTTTTTTATCAATATTATTCAAAAGATTGAACCAATAACAAATTGCTAATTTACAAATGTTGTTGGCCAAGAAAGAAACCAGTTGCATTTTATGCTGCAATTTTACATTTTCTTTTGTAAACAAACTGGAGGTGTTTTTTGTTGCTGCTGGTTGTTGTTATTGCAACAAGAAACCATTGCAAACTAAACAAATTTTCACACAACACGTCGTAGAGCATTTGCGCTTTTCCAATTAGTTAGTTGTTGTTCATTGTTGATGAGAAAACTGTTTGGAACGGAAGGGAGAGAGAGAGAGGGAGAAAAAAGTTGCGGCAAAATAAAATGTTACTCTCACGTGCAAGACAATTCCAGTGGAAATGTCTTTGTTTACTGGAATCCGAATTAAAAGCCAAAAAGGGAAAACCTGCAACAATAACAAAACGCCAACAAACATCCAGCCAACCAACTGACACACTGGCGATTCGTTCGGTGGCTGCGGCATTTTCGTCGGAGAGAAACAGTCAGTGTCACCAGCTGTGATAATTTCTCTTGCCAAACCCAAAGAAATGAATGAAATGTGAAATGAATGTTTTGTGCGTTGCTTGGCGTTTGTTTATCCGCTACGCAATGCCGCTCTCCTGCTATGCGAGATGAAAACCTCCGGTTGCCGATTTGGCGACTTACTATATCATGGATGTGGGTGTGTGTATGTGTGTGTCTTGTTTGATAAAGCTAGTCAAATCTGTGGAAAACATGTCCATCCGCCTGTCTTACACTGCCTTCTGTCTGTTGGTCTGGCTGTCTGTCTGTCTGTCCATTTATCCGCATTTAACGCAAATTTTTTACTGTTGTTGTTTTTTTTTTTTTGATATTTCTTTGCATTTCTGAGCTTCATGTTACTATTGTTGTTTTTGTTGTTTATATACTTCGAATCAGCAGCACCAGCTTTCAGTGCGCAGCTTACCACACTCGGCTCTCTGCCTTGGATATACTTCCAGTGAATAATGGTATTGTTTGAATGTGTGAGTGTTTGCGCTTAATTTTGAGATACTCGTTTGTCTACTCTCCTTTGACGCTGCAGCAGTGTTGCTGCTGTTGTTGCTATTGCCGTTGTATGGGGAAAAACTTTAAAATATTTGCCTGAGATTTATTTAGTTTGCAACTTTCATAGAAAACGGTAGTCTCGCCGATATTCCTCGTCCGTCAACTTCTAATGTGGATACACACTGGCCTCTCGCTAAACATCTTTGGGAAGAAGTAGAAGAAAATTCCAAGTCATCGGTACGTCGCGTTCCGTTTTTTTTGTTTTTCTTTCGAAACAAAACGTTCGAATGGCTACGTGTGTTCGGTCGATTTGATTACAAATTCCGAAAATTTTTCTAACAGCTGAAAAAAAGACGTTAGTGCTATAATAAATGTAACGTAAAATATTTTCCATATTTCAAATGGGTTCAACGCGCACCCAACAAACCAACCTAACAACCACCCACCCATTAATCCATAATGAATTCCATAAAATAAAAATAAATTTGCAAGTGAAATTCGAAATGAAAGAAAACATGGTGTCAAAATGAGGAGTCAAGACACAATTTGTAAAAAAGTGAAAAATATATATATATTTAAATTTGTGGAAAGTGCAGATATGAAAATATATCAGCTTTCAGCAAAAGGAGCAATGCTCTGGTGTGAATAAACTCTGAGCTGAAAGCAACTACAGGCATACATTCATTTTATTCAAAAGAGAAGGGAAATCAGTTCACCAAAGAAAAATAGTGAAAAACTATTATCGTTTAAAATATTCACAGAGTATTATATGGATATCAAACGAATTGAAAATGAAATAATGGAACTTTTTTCTAATGGCAACATCCGGTTTGATGAAATAAGAGATGGAAAATATATTTATTACTCCACAAGAATGATATTTGGTACATGGGAAAAATCGGCATTAAACAAATCTTTTTTTTATTCCCAAAAACAAAATCTAATTCTCTTTAAAGATAAGATACTCTCTAAATTTTTATTTAAGTCTAAAGGAACTAACTAAGGATGGTTCCCTTTGAAACTCCACAAATTCGAATAAAAGCTAATTTAAACAATACAATTTATTTTATTTTAAACCTCTGACAAAACACACTGAACAATAGATTTTGCTCCAATATTATTGTTTGCTTTTTCCAGGGATGGAAGGCAATAACTATCAATCACGCGGGACACATCCTCATACTTGTGACCGAACACGTGAACATCTAATCATTGCACATGCTAAATTGTTCATTTGTTGTTAAGATGAGAAGGAACTATGTTTATACGCTACACCACATTGTGATAAGGGTATTATGTCCTTGTGCATTTGTTTGTAACATGGAGAAGGAAGCGAGATAGACCCACAGTTACTTTTGAGGATCTTCATATTCCATCCATGTATTTTTGTGAACAAAATGCAAGTCGCATTTATTATCTGATTGAGATTAAATTTTTCAAACAATATTTGTTTGGCCCAAGCACTAACCCTATTGGAATTGATGAGAATCGGTTTTAATTTAGATATGGCTCCCATAGATATCTTCAAGCGATATCGAATAATTTGTGCAACAAATGGCCAATATCATTCAAAATTACCTGAATATTGGCACATCCAATCGAATTCAGTCTAGAAGCATGTACAACAAATTTGGTGAAAATCTGTTCAGATATAGCTTTAGCCCCGATATATATGTTTCATCCGATTTGGGGTTTTAAGTCCCTCACAAGCGTAATGTGTACTCCTCAAGGATGATATTTGGTACCAGATAACTTATGGAGCTCAAAAATACATCTGCCAATTTTATTCAGATCGGATCAGATTAGGATATAGCTCCCATATATATGTTTATGCGATATCAGGTTTATTGTGCACCAAATGGCTAATATCAGCGCAAATGGACTGAATTTCGGCAATTCCGACTGAATTCATCCGTCAAATTGTATTGTGATCGGTTCAGATTTTTATATAGCTTCGATATACATCTTCCTCTGATTTTACGGTTATTGCTCACCATAAATGTAATATCAGCCCAAATTGAATAGATTTCTTCATATTCAATCGAATTTTACTATTTGGTGAAACTCGGTCTGGAATATATATTGCTTCAATAAATACTTTTCAATATAATCCTTATCGAATTCACTTTACATAAGTGTTATTTGCTCTGATTTACTTCACATAAATTCCCAATATAAACTTTTTTGTTACTAGAGCTCTACTAAATACGCATATAGTCGGTCCAGCTCGAGTTTTGACCTTTCCTTACTGGTTTTATGTTAGCGTAATGGGTGTATTGGCGCACTATATCTTTCAGTGCTCTATTACGCAGCTTTAAACAAACTTAATACCGGTAAAATCTTACTGGTGTTGGTAGTCATACCAAATGTATATTGAAATATCATTGGCGCCCAACTTCAATGTTCCATGAGCAATTTGCCTGTTTTAAGAAAAATGCAACGCAAAAAAGTTGCATCTGGAATTGCAACTAACTAACTCAAAATTGCCGTCATATTTTTGGCTGGTATTTAAGAAAAAATAATTTCTATTCCTGGATAATTTAGATGTGTGTCTGTCGGAACATTCAACCATTATTTGATTAATTTTTATACCCTCCACCATACTATGGAGGGTATATTAACTTTGTCATTCCGTTTGTAACTCCTGAAATACTCATGTCAGACCCAACAAAGTATATATATTCTTGATTAGCGTAAAATTGGAAGTCGATTTAGCTGTCTGTCTGTCCGTATGTCTGTCTGTTGCAATCACGCTATCTTTCGAATTTATTTTTCAAGTACGCAGGTTAAGTTCGTAAATAGGCCATGTAGGTCCACGTCTTCATATAGTCTCCATATAACGGTACCTCCCGATATTCGGTATTTTGATGATTTTAGCGACATTATTTAACGGAATTGTTTTAAATTTGGTATTTAAAGTTCGAAATGGATAATACAGCCAATGAAAGAAAATTGTCTGTGCAGGTCCACGTCTTCGTATTGCCCCCATATAACGGCACCTCCCAATATTCGGTATTTTGATGATTTTAGCGTCATTATTCACCAGAATTGTTTCAAATTACGTATTTAGAGTCAGTGATATTAATAACCTTCACAATTTGGAAGAAACTTGCAAAATTTCAAATAATTCCCTTGAAATGGTGCTAAAATTATTAAAATACCGAATATCGGTTCTGGTATATGGGGGCTATACAAAAACTCTGTCCTATATAGCCAATTATCTGCTAGAGAAGGTGATGCCCATTGCGAACTCCAAATCATAATTTTATGAAGTTCATATAGAATTAAGGTTAATTTTTAACAGGAGTAAAAGAAGTGGAGAAGTAGGGGTTATATATTGAAAATAGCGAAAAAAGAAGAGGTATCTTTATTTGGGACAATATCAAAAAGGTGAACATACTTTGAATTAAACGACCCACTGAGAACCCAAAATACCAAAATTACAGCAGATTTGATGGGAAATTTGAAAGAAAGCTTCAAAAATAGTTTCAATGGGGGTATTACAAAAAAATAGGAGCTTAAACTACCACCTGAGGACTCGAAATGACAAATTACAGCTGATTGAGTTGGCAATTGAAACTGAAACCCATAGATAACGCGAAATGTTTTTATGAAAGCCATGCCTAAACATGGACCTAAAATTAGAGCAAATATTGGAAAAGCTTACCAAGAATTCAGAAACAGTTTAAGGTCCGATTACACATTATTTTAGAGTCATATGTAAAATGACTATTTCATATCTCGTATTGTACATTTTTATGGCATACTCCAAGGTACCAAAAATATTTAAACTAAACTATATGCTATAATGTATTGTATTTTATTAACACCACAAAAATAAGATTTTCAAAAAAAAAATATTTATTGTTTGCAGATTATTTCAACTGCACCTCCAATTCTAGTCTACATACTTTCCATGATATTAGTTTAAACATAGCCCCACAAAAAATAGTCTAAAGGTTTTAAATAGTACTATCTAGGCGACCAATTGACCGATGCCGAGCGTGAAATAAAAAGTTCATCGAACTCGGCTCGACATATGACACTGCAATCTCATGCAAGTCTAGCTCGTTTATTTTTGGTAAAAGTTACATTAAGTTTTGCATATTTGAAGAAGTAAGGCCCAATGATGCCACCATCTAATAAACCGAACCAAACTATGACTTTTTCTGGATGCATTGGTAGCTTCCGCAATGATTCTGGCTGATCTTCACTCCAAAATCGATAATTCTTTTTAGTTACTTAACCTTTTGGCCAAAAAATAGCCTTGTCGCTAAAATGGTAGAAGCGCGCGACGAACTTCCTTAAAGAGTGTCAGTCGGTTCAGCCGACAGACGTATACCCTCAGCCAGTGTTCGATTATTTCAATATATTTAACATCTGTTATTATTATTCAAACTTTTGACCTTCTATGGAGTGGGTTCTGAAGGAATGGGCCATTTAATATGTTGTCCATTTAATATCGAACGATATAAATATTGCGACGGGCCAGGTTTGGTCTATATTGGTTTACGTTGAGCGTTTGCATTCTCAAAATCTTGAATCCTAAGCGGGGAGGTTCCAGAAGAAATGGTCTGGTCTCTACCATCTTTATAATAGATTTCGTGTTGATTGAGATATTGAGATGTGCCAAGTCTGAATGGAATAGGATGTTGGATGTTCATGGATATTCAAAATTTTGACACTTTGCGGGAGAAGGAGTATTAGCGGAGGAGTGCAACCAATATATTCCATCTTCGCACCAGACCTTGAATAAAAATATTGTGATGTATGTAATTTGAACACAATGGGGGCACACACATTTTATGAGAGTTATAATTATTCGAAATTTTGACCCTTTGTGGGGGAGGTACTTGATGAAGAGGACCGATATCATCCATTTTCGCACTTGACCTAGCACTCATTTAAATATTAGGATTTGCAATGTTGTTATTTTCTTTGAAAATGTTGATATTTTGTGGGGGAGGTACCAGAAGGAGTGGATCTATACTGCCCGTTTCCGAACTCGACCTACGTTCGATAATAATATTACGATGTACCGAGTTTGGACCAAATCGGATAGTCCATTCGTGAGCCCAGCCAGCAGACAGACAGACGGACGGACATCGCTAGATCGACTTTAAATGTCCTGAAACGACCTAGTGTCTAAAACCGTTTTTTCGATGGACAAGTTCTGGCCGTATCAAATAATATATACCCTCTCTAGCCATATTGCTGAGGGTATAAAAAGTAGCTTTATATGGGATTGTAACATTATATGTATACAATTAGATGCGAAATTTCTGTTTCTAGTACTTTTGATACATTTGTAATACGAATTTCCGAAAAACACAAACATGCTACTTAATCTGTTATTTGGGAAGATATTGAGTT